TTTTTTTTTCTTGCTTCCTATACAGTGCATTCATGCCACAGTAGAGCGGATAAATCAATTTCGGAAACGAGTCGGTTCTCGGGTCTGCTCCGGAATCCGCGAGACGCAATTGGAGACGCCCACGACGACGAGATGTCTTCTATTTCTGGGCTCATATCCTCCCCGCAGAACCGAGACAGCCTTTCAGAATCCGTCTCGAAAAAGTTCTGCGACATTGGAGACAACATGAAAACGAATCACACCAGGTTCAGTTCATTCAACTCTGGCTACAAGTTCGTGGGCTTATTTCGAGTTGCATTCTGCCATCCGTCTAAAACCTCGGGACTAATATCGTAGCCTGTTGATATGAAAGGCTTCGAAACTTTTTTTTTTTTTGCGGATCTTTAAATGTCTTGTGGTCCTAGCTGGATGAACAAGGAAGGTATATTAGAGGTTCGACAGTCAGTCACAGTGTGGTTTTAAGTCAGCTTCCATGGCCATTAAATTCGGTTTGCGTGGTGTGTCTAAAAGTGAAAGCATCAAAACTGACATCTCCTCCCAAAGATGAACACAGTTAAAATTATTCTTCTAAAAACCGCTTTATCAAGATTTAAATAGCAAGAATGGGTTCGAATGTCTCAATATTAACAAAACAGTTTCAAAAAAATTTGTTTGCATGAAGATGAACTTTCCAGGTTATTGGTGTGTACCCAGATTTAACCCATTGATTTCTTGGTAATTTTCTAGCTTTCATCAGTGTAGTTCTTGGGATTTTCATTTAGCTCCCAATATTTCCAAGTGATAATATACAGTATGTATAAGTTAGTAAAATAATTTGCTTAAGAGAAAATAAAAATTAATATAAAAAAGGGTGTATCATCTGCTCCAGTTTCAAAGAATACATTTCATTTTTACTCGATGGACATAGTTTATTCTGCCGGTATTATTTGTTATTCTGATTGGAAACTTCCTTTTGTTTGAACGGGCATTGATAGAGCAAAAAGAGAAACTCAGATCTGAAGGAATAACATCAAATGTCAAAACATCATGTGTATCTTAATATTACAGTTGGGCCTTTATCACTCTAACCTCCTAATTAAAATATACCCCTCCACTTGGAACATTTTCAAGTCCCTGTTCAAATAACTTTCTTAGAAGCAATGCATTAAGTACCTCCATGAAAAAAGTATTCTGAATAACTCAAAGCCTTCCAAAGTTGATCCTTTTGAAATTAGACTTGAAGAAGTTCAATTGTTCATGATGCATTCTATGTGCGGAATTTTTTCTCGACACCAGCGGCAGTGTCGATTTCCCTGAGAAGGGACAAATAGCTCGAGTTTACCGAAATTGGCGCGTCTCGGGACGCGCCCGGGGTTGTAAATTAATCCCCTTGGCGGGGAAACAGGCGGGATCAATTAACTTGCCGAAGTCGGCACACCAACAATATCTTAACCCCCGGAACCGGGACAAAACAGTCGTCAAAAACGACGTCTCCACTTTCTCAACAGGGGGACATCGAATTCCCCCTTTATTTTCTTTTCTTTCCTTTTCTTTTCCGCGAAAACAGGGGTCATCTAACCCCTCCGAAAACTCACAGAAAAACTCGACCATCTGCTGGCAACGCGCCCCGAAAAATATCGTATCTTCTTCCCTAAAACGATTTATCTTCAAAAGACCAAACCTTTTCTAAACTGTCAAGGAGTACTAAAGTACCAGTAAAAGCTAAATTACTTCTACAAGCATGCTTCCTCTTCTTAATATCTTTACAAACGTTCAAGACACCCGGTCTCCGGGAAAACAACAAATCTAGTCCTGTAAAGGTTCAGCAAAATCATAAAAAGCCACCCGGTCCTCCGAAAATTAACTGCTAAACCAATATACGAACTGAAAAACACCAGCACCTGGTATTTTCTCATTTGTCCTACCTCTGGGGCTCTCCAAAGATATTATCCAACCCTCCCTGTAGACTTTTTAGCTTAAAAACCCCTGATTTTGGTGCTGACGACACAGTCCGAATTTTACCGTCGAAGCGTTGCGTTGCGTTGCGTCGTGTGCTATCGTCATCGAAAAATTGCCTAAGTCCGCGAAATCTCTTGTGAATATTTATCTGCTAAAAACTGTTGTGCATATTTCGCTGCGTATACCCTTGTGAATATTCTGTACCTGTGAATTTCTGTCGCTGATTGCTAAACAAAGGGCTTGCGCTTTTTTGGGAGAGAATCCCTGGTCGGTTCGCGCACCGGCCAATTGCTGTGTTGAATTCATTTTTTCTCATTCTTTACTTATCATAAGAGAATCATCCTTTAATTACTGACTTATAAGTACTAAATTAATTTCTGTCCACTCGATTATCCTAAATAAATACTTGCAAGGTGTACGGCTTGCTTCAGACTTTCCTTCTTCTCAAATAAAACCGTACATTCTAAGGACATATGTTACAATGAGATTGGATCTCTTTTATTGTGCTTGGTCGTACTTCACTATAGAAAATTTATATAAGCAAAAAATACGTGAAAACTCTTACTATTCTGTATATTTTTAGGAATGCTTATTTTGCTTTGCAGCACTGTATAATTTATTTCATAATTCTGAAAATAATGTTCTTTCATTTTTCAATTCTTTTTCTACTTTGGAGATTTCAAGTTATCATATTGGACTCGTCGAACGTTTCCAAAAACAAATCACGAGTGTCTTCTGAGATTTTAAAAAGCAGCCCTTATTCTGAATTTCGAACTCTGAAGCAGCATGCATGCGAGACAATTGATCCGATTCGCACACATTCGCTAAGGGAAAATTGTGCATTACGGTGGCATCCGTTTGATACATAGAGTGGGGATTTTCGATAAGAGGAATTTGTGGTGCACTTCCTGGGTTTATGGCTAATCACGGGCATCATAGTGCTGCCCCCAACGGGCGCAGGCTGCAATTAAAAAGGATTACCCCCACAGCTTTACGCCCTTCCCTCGCACCCATAACGAAAAACAACCCCCCACTAATACTACAACATCTTCCTGCACAACGGGTTTGAACAGGACTTCGTCTTTGAAAGCCGACGCTGATATGAGCAATAAGTCAGCGGAAGCCCGAAAATTGCGTCGCAGTCGCCCAGCAGCAGGAGATGAAACGGGTTCATCATCCAGCAGGAACTTTCCGCCGGGTATCGACATCGCGGACACGGATTTCGTGGAAACCAAAGCCCCGTTACCCGCGAGTCGGATAATGGAGCAGCTCAGCCTCTGGCGCAAACTCGCCACGAAAACCATGATCAGCATAAATCTGTATTTGCCGCCGAGTCGGTGCCCGGATGACCACGTGGCGGCTTCTGTGAACCCCAGTATGTTGTCGTGCACCATGGTCACGTCTGTGGCGTCCTGCATTAAAATGCTGCGTGGGCCGGAACGCCGCCGAGTGTGCGGGCTCGCCGGACAAATGGCTATTTTGTACACGACCAGGAAGGTTCGAACTTTTTCATAACCCACTCTTGGATATTCCGTGAACTCGAATACTGTATAGAAAAATTGCAATGTTGCGAATTTTTCTGCAGTAAAAGCCAGCTTGCGAATCCCAGCAGTTTGTTGCTTTATAGAAAGTACAGTAGTGCATTCGTACGTTGTAGAAATCTCATTTCAACTCTGCAGTGTGTGAGTGGGTCATATAGATATGTTCGCTAATCGGCAGAAAATGGGGAAATCTCATCTTGCGCATTATAAAATGCCATCAATACGGAAGAAACTCTGGGCTTTTTGAACATAAAATATTAAGGCTCTTGTTCTTGTCAGTCCACTTAACTATACAGTATAATGAAGTACGGTATGAAGTTGAATAATATTGCTTTATTTTAGCGAACATACAGTTGTAAATGCATAAGTGTTTGTCTTGAGCATATATTTTTTTCCAGTTTACATTCTGATGCATCTCCATGAAATTTAAACGAAAGCAGATTCAAGTTAGAAAATACTACTGTACTGTATTTACATATCGAATTTTACTTATTTGTTCAGACATGTTTGGGAATGATAATTTATATTTCCTAGTATATGTTGTGGAAGCCCTTGTGACCGCGTATCATCTGATTCCTGGCATACAGTATTTTATTTTAAATGCTTTTAGGACTGAAATTCTTATTTTAATAAGTTTTTCAGCGTTCCTTCGGAATTCGGTCAACGGACATTTTTCTGTGAATATTTATCTACTGTACTATTTCATAAAAAAATCTACAGTGCTTTTGTACTTCGAAATGAGAAAATTGTGCACTAAAAATTTAGATTTCCAAGAAACGTATTCAATATTCACTTTCTTCAGAAACCCGATGTCTGTTGATTCTATACTTGTGCTTCAGATACCAGCGTTATGTCCTTCGAAGTACACTTCAAAAATAAAAAAGGATACAATCTTTCCTTCATATATGGAGTGAAAATGGGAAACGGACTTGCTCACTAAAACTTCAGATCACTTTCATTCCAGCCATCGTCCATAACAAGCTTTCATTCCTTTCATCGGAAAAACCCAAACCCCTTCAGAAAACGAGACACAATGACGCCTATCTGTCCTTTTTTTTCAGAAAACGATGTGAATATAATTTTGGAACAAGGAGAATGAAAGTGAAAATGCATTACTTTAAACGCTATAGAAACAAAATTAGGAAGTGTTTTCTTCCGATGGTCGATTGGGTTAGTGCCAAGAATTCCCTACATGCAGTCCTACACAGTACTCGGATACGGCTTCAAATGAAATGCTGTCAGCCAACTTGGATTATGTCAGTCACCCAGGAATGAGAGAAACATTCTATACCTCAATAAGGCTTGCTGACAAGTTTGGGCTTCGCTTAAATTTTGAGCAAAAATTCAGTAAATTATAGAATATTTGCCGTGAATCATTTTGAAATTTATTGGAGGAATTCCCGGCTTTAAGCAGATTAATCCTGCAAATCGTCCCTATGTAGAAAATGTCACAAATAGAGGAGAATAAGAGAAATACCGGCGCATTAAAAATTTACTCACTTATGTTGCCTAGAATTTTCGGGTCAGCCTGAAGTTCCCGAGCCTCTGTACGGAAATCAATTTGAACTTTTCTCCAAATTCTGTCGCAATACCCAGTTGAAAGACCGCTAAAATCTGACGAACATTATAGCCACATCTTTGTGCATCGTCCGGTGGTGTAGGAAAAGTGCGTGATGATGTGCGTTACTTTTTCTGTCTGAAAATGCCAGGTGCTGAAAGATTTGGCATTCAAAGACCCGTCGAGCTGCATCTGGAGACTGATCCACTCCGCCATGGATCAAGCCCTCGCCGAAATCCCGCCGAACCTCATCCGCCAAAAGCGCCGCGAAGAAAAGAGCGTGGAGAAGGCCGAGGAAAAGCTGCAGCTCCGCATCGGGGCCTGGGAAATCCTCCGCAGCGTGCTCAAAACCCGCTCAGCACATCCCGAACTCGACAATGCCAAGACCAAGGACGAAATGGCGTACACGAGCTACAAAATCATCTGCCTCACTTCCTTCTGCTTGGACAACCAGTGGCGCAGCCTGTCGGACATTCCCGAAAAGAGCCAGCACTCTGACGCCCCGCTCAGACTCCCGCAAAACTTCACGTACGTTTTGAACACCACGTTCGATATCCTGCGGTCATTAGCCCGGAGCCGAGACGAGACTCGCGACATCGACTCCATGCACCGACTGCTGCGGAGTTCGGAGGTGGAGTGCGAGCAAATGACGTGCGCGTTTTTGGACGACGCCGTGGGGGATCTGGGCAAGATGCTGGAGATTTACAACCTGCTGTTGGTGGTGGTGCAGAGGGTCGGGCAGCAGCACCACCAGCGGGCGGCGACGACGAGTCACCACCATCAGACGCGGGCTGGGCGCGGGGACTGCGGTCCCAGGCTGATTGGGAATATTTATCTGCTCATGCAGAAAACGTGCCAACTCATTCACAGCATCTGTCTCCCGCCTGCTGTCGTGCCAACTGATCCGGGGGTCATGAGCGACGAGCACCGCCTGCTGCACTTCATCGCGGAGGCGCAGAGTGCCAGAAGCATCATCAAACTGCGGATGAACAGTGAGCTGTCTGCATTCCACCAGACGCGATATATACAATACCAGAGAATCTCTTGATAATGAAGTCGTTTTTCAGGTCCCATGCCTGAAGATAGCAATAATGATAGTCAAATCTCTTCATAAAGTATTTCTCCTTATAAAGAAACTGTTTTCCCTGTCCCCAGCACAGAATTTAATAAAGTATTTACAGAAATTACTATTATTTTGAAATTAAAGTGATACCCCCACATGCAAACGCCTCGACTTGAGGATATTTTGACTTAGGGACATTTATTTTTCAATAAAAAATCACAAAAAAGGCCTGACATACGGACACTGACTCAACATGAGGACATTGCATGATAAAATTGCGTATAAATTTTAGGAAAATTGACTTTTATTAACCCTTGGATGGCAAAGGGTTCTTTCCCATCTCCGGCCAAAATTGGATTATTCTCGTATGCTAAGGCGTTTTAATTTTTCTGAAGGTCAGAAAAGACCTTCCAGGTGGGCTGAGGCAAAGTCGGGATTAATCCAATGAAAAGCCCATTGCTTAGCATAGCATGTTTTTCATTTTCCCACAAAATTTTTCTGTACAAAAAGAAAAAAACATCGGATTTTTTCCTGACTTTGTCCTCAAATCCCTGTTGTCCTTTTTTTCTTTTCTGCCCTGAGGTGCAATGAAATTTCTCGAAAATAGTCCGACTTTGCCACCCAAGGGTTAAGCTTAATTGCAAGAAAGATATTTCCAACCCTAAGATCTATGCAAGAAAAAATATTTGGTACTTTTCCCATCACTTTCCCAACCCTTCAGCTAATTAAAAAAAATTATCCATAGCACAGGGGGACTGCCTTCTCTCTTTGTGAATTGGATATTATTTTTACAGAGGCCAATATTTCAATGAACTGTACAGCAGTATACTATTCAATGCTCCAAATGTTCTTTTTGGGTTGAAAAGATATTCCCTGAATCAAATTCAAGTGGCAAAATTTTTTTTTCATGGAATTCTGAAGAATGTTTCTTCCATAAAACACCAATTAAAAATTATATAATGTAAGTTTATGGGAAAACAAGACCCGACTTAGGGACAATTAAACTTAGGAACACTCTTGATGCACCAATTATGTCCTCATCCGGGGGTCTCACTGTACTAACATCATGAATGCGGATAAAATGATTTGGAAGTTTTCAATAGGTGTCTCACATTGGGCAATAAGACATTTTCAAATTATAAAATCATCCATTCTGACGAGAACGGTGGAAGTTGGTGTCTTTTTCTTTTTTATTTACCAGAGGCTTCGCATACCTTCCAAATCCAAAAATCTCGAAAAACTTTCCTTCTTTGACACTGGAACACCGGTCTGAACTTCGAAGAATCCATCAGAACGAATTTTCGTTGCAGGTGAGTCTCGCAGATCCGTGATTACAGAGCAAAACTGCGTGCGTGCCAACAATCTCCTGCTTTGGCTCTACTCATACTTGTCAGCTCATTTGATGGACCATTTTCAAGACCTTCTGAAGCAAGGTAAAACACCGCAACCCCGGCTCACTGCTGAAGGTCAACCAGCGTCGATCATCACGCACCCAAAGGACGTGTACGTGGCCCTGGAAACTCTGAAGACACTTGCCGCGAAACACTTTGGTCAAGACGATCCCAGTTTGTCCGTGATTCATGAATATCGCGCGGAAATGCGGTCAGTCGTCTCACGAATCATCGATACTGAAGGATCGAATGACCTTTCGTCATGGAATACGCCCCGAAGCCAGGTCGATTCCAAATGAATGAACCGCCCCGTTTTGCGAAGGAAATGTGCTGATGTGAAAGCACAATCCCGTCTCGTCTTTGCGCTCGTTTCTCCTTCCGATGTACAGTACTTCAGAAGTTGAAATTGGAGGATTTCTTTCTTTTTTTATATACCAAAAGCATCTTTTTCATCTTGAGTATTTCTGGATCATCACGAATGAAGGATTTTCTATTTCTAGACGATTTCTGGGGAATAAAAATTCCTGAATTTTTCTCTTGCTTATTCGGTTGAATCGTTCACAATCATGCTCATCGTTTATTTTTTGATGCGGCTCCAAAACCTCCAGAGCACCTTTTTTTCCTGTAGCACTCACTTTCGTATTTATTCTAGTACAGTGCTGTGAATTGCGCTTTCGCACGTTGTTTTTGGCAGATAAGTTGCCCGCAGAAAGATGTGACGATCTTCAAATCGTGTTTATTAATTTTTAAGAAACTGCGGAGATCCGCAGCTGCTGTTTTCACAAAGCACTTGAATTTGAAAAATCTTCCAGAAGGAAGAGCATTTCAGAAGTTATTTAGGGTTTTTGGCGTCAAAAAGCTGCTGAATTAAAGATCATTAAATTCGTTTTCTGGTACTTTCCTCATTCTTTGCTGTTTTTGCTACTTGTATACGGCCTGAGTGCATGATTAGCATGCAAATTCAAGTATAGGAACCCAGGTGAAACACTTAATGTGTTGGTTTGGAAGTCGGTTGTCCTAATTTTACGCGACTTAAAAAATAAAAAATTGAAGCAGCCTGCGAGACAGTGCAATCTTTTTTTTTTACATTGATATTTCGAGTTAGGAATTATTTTTAAGAATTTCATTCGATTATTATTTGCGATAATGGAGTAATAGAGCAATCCTTACGTAAATGTAAAACCTACAATTCCAGTTTTATACATTCATTTTTGAAATTTTGAACTAATTGTTCAAAAAGCCCGATAGTAAAGGTGATTGAACAGTGAGTAAACCTACCAGGATTTACATCTTTGAAATAAAAAAAAAGATCGCAGCAGAAAAGTTGGCGCACCAGAAAAAAAAGCGTAATTTCATGAACTAAACCATCGAACTTTGTGGGAGTGAAACTGAAACCATAGAACTTCGCAGGAGTGAAACTGAAAATGAGATTATAACGTTCACCTCAACCTGAACAGATGCAAGGGGCATACGGGCGCTGTAACCGCATCACTGGGCTATACTGTTAATGGCGTTAATCAACTTTCTGTTAATCAGGAGTGGTGCTGTGAAGGGGATGAGGCGAAAGAGATGGTGAGGCCTTTGAGGGGGGGGGTGAAAAGCGGGGGAATATTCGGGATAACCGATGAATGCGACTGACGTCCCGATACGAACGAGGTCATTCGTTAGGAGCCGGGTCGGGTTCATATCCGACAAGGAATCAGGGCGGGCTTTCCGTTCCGTTTGAGCAAGAAAAGCTCGCCTCTTGTTCCGCTATTAATCACCACTGTTTACTCGGCTCGGCATCACATGAAAATGAAAGCATTTCCTGCCTTTCTTGCCGAATTCAATCTTTGCATCCGAAATAATGCTTCTGCCTCGATAAGCAAAGAGTATATATATATGCATTCTTCTCAATCGCGTTTACGGCGGATTAGGTCATACGAAGACTATACTCTGCTGGGACCCCGAGATGCGGACAGCAGAAATGGTGCTTGGACCTTGTCCCTTTGATCGCCCTCATGCTGGACCTCGTTTTCCCATAGAATTCAATACGAAGACATTTAACTGGTTCTCTTATTTATCAATGATTAGGAATAAATCCGCCCCCCCCCCCCCAAAATTGATAAAAAATAGTTTACCTCAACTTCAAGTGCAAGAAAACAACTGCACAGCAGAAGAAAACCAAATAGTAAATCTTTTGGCATTAGAAGGAGCTCAAAAAAGCGAAGAACAAGCTTGAGGTTTGCTTAATTATGCAATAAGGGTAGCAAAACTCTGAAAAAAGCACGAAATCAGCCTGGTTTTGACTATGAATTAGAGTCAATATCTAGTGAATACATTTTTAAATTAAGTGAATTTAAGTAGCTCAATTTTTTCAAGAGATGTAAACATAAAATTTTTTTTGACGAATGAGGGCAGTGTAGCCGTTGCCCTCATTGTCCAGTAGCCATTGTCCAGATATCGGGTCCGTTTTTGTCGAGTTATGAGTGTCCCTATGTCGGGGCGTTCGCATGTCGGGGCTGCATTGTCCTTCGATGGTCTCTGTAAGCAAGACGCGGATTTCCGGCGTTGAAGCCAGTATTCATACCTCTCTATAGGATATAGAACAAAGCAGAGCCATGCCTTCTTGATGTCTTCCCTCTTTTTTAGATTCTCGGAAGACAATCGATCTTGTATCTTCGAGGAGCAAGTACCAGACCGCAGAGAGATAATGAGTGGAATAAGATATTGAGCAGTTTTTTTTCTGGAGTATACATGAAGATAATTTATGCAGTCGAACCCTGATAAGACACCATCATTTGTCAAGGCTCAAGAGCAATTTTGGTGGTTTACAGGGGTTGCATGGTGGTTTATCAAACATTTACTTTTAAATTATTTCATCAAAATTACTCAATTTTCCTCTGAAAGTCATAGAGATACTGGTTATGAATGGAAGCTTCAGTAATTTTCCAAAGAGTATTGCTGAGATCAATGGATTACTCTTTCAGAAAATTAATTTTGCTGCATCAATTTATCCAAATTTTAAGATTAGGTCAATGTATTGTGCAAAATTTCCAACAAAATGATCTTCTTTCTATTCTTACAAGCACAAGATCCTTAACAGAAATTATAATTCTACCCCAATGTTGGCCTTGTAAAAAAGACAAAAATAATAAGGAACAACACTTTTGCTTCATCACTAATGCTGGTGGATGGCAGTTGGGATCTTAACCAGGTTTTCTGTAGAATTCAACATGGAGGAGATTTGTTTCATTCAAAATTCTGGCAGTTGCCCAAGGTGGTTCTTTATTGGGGGGGGGGGGGGTCTTAACGGGGTTTGACTGTAACTAGAGAGATAGTGCACGTATAAAAAACTCGATCGCTTCAAAATGACAAAATATTTATACTGGGAACAAGTCAAGCTTTTCAGCTTCTGACTTTCAACAAACAAAGAAATTCCGTTCTGAAATTTCTTTCGTCATAAATCTATTTTATCTCAAAAGCTTTCTAAGAAAAATACTACTATAGGAATAGTTCATTAAACTTGTGTTCAGGTTCGATTAGTTTCGAGTTCTATTCTGTTGACTCTGAAAATCACATGCGATTGCGATTTAGTGATTGATCAGCGAATGTTTAGAGTAAACTATGGAGGATTATCCGAATGGTACATGTCAAAATCTTGTTAAATGTCAACTTTCATCAGTCAAAATATAGAGATGGGCATGAAAAAAAAACGATATTTTTTCGTGGTTCTTTCTTTTTTTAGCCTTTTCATTCAGGAATTGGTGCCAGGGCTGTGACTGTGTCTCATCCTCGAAGAAACACAGTACGGAATTCTAAAATATCCCGAAAACAAAATAAATCTTCAGAATCGTAATCGGCTTAGGCGACAGTTCGTGGATTACTTCCGATTCTTTTGATGTCATTTCCGGCCTGCAAAGTTCTAGAGCGGCAGTCACCAAAGGTCAAAGTGCCGAGCCGTTCCTTTATTAGTCACGAGCGAAACTCTCGTATCGAGTAAGGCATCTATTGGCGACGTTATTGGCTGGGAATTTTAGCGGAAGGGAATCCTGCTGAGACCCCCCACCCGAACCCAAACGATACGGACCCAATTGCAATAAAAAACCCTCGCGTGGTCGCGCGGCCTGTCGCGAAGTTCCGTGCATTTCCGAATTCGTTTTATTCTTGCCATATAATAATAATGAAGAGAGAGAGAGAAGAGAGAAAAGGCTAGGCTCTCGCGGATCTTATGTGGATCACATTGCTGCGTGCATTTGCAAAATTGCCCGATACTCGTATCCTGCATGAAGCCACCCAGATCGTCCATCGCATACTCAATGAGCCGCATGCGGATATGTAGGGACGACGCGGTCACGAAGCCGAGAGAGAGGAATCGAATCGGTGTCGGGTCGCCCCTCGTTGCGGATATGGTCACCAGACGAGCAAATCGACCATGACGGTACAATTTTTACATAACCAGCTGGGGGCAAAACGAATCAAAGTTGACCTAGATAAAGCGAACCTCCCTGAGTCAAAGTTTTCTCAACTCCCTTCTTGATTTTCTAAAAAACAATTGATTAAAAATCTCTTTGAGGCTTCTCATCTCAAAAATTTAAAACTCGAACTTTCCGAGGCCTTTGGGCTATTATTTTCTCAAAACAGCAAAGAGAAAATCACTAAAAAAAAGGAAACTTGATTGCGTTTCCAGAGGAAGTGAAAGACTAATCGGGCAAAGGAATACTCTTGCATCCAATTTCAGCATTGTGTCAACTCGTTTGAAAAGCAATTGCAGGCCCAGGATATCATCATTTACAATTTCCTGCGATTCTTCCATCTTGGCCCCAACAAAAATGCTTGTTTCCCTAACTCATTTTTTTTTGCTGGTCCCTTGAAATTTCACTCATTTGGAAAAAATAATCTTGATGTTTCTGATGACAAATGTAAATCAAGATTTGGAAAGCACTGAATACAAAAAATGGTTAACCTTCTTCCACGAAACTCCTATTCTTGTCTGCCATAAAAATCCTAAACACAAATTTAAAACGGGACTGGGATTTCATTCAAGAAATCTGGAGTGTGTCTTAATTACATAAAATTAATCACAAGAATTCATTATAATATAATGTATAACCAAATCTGCTGAAGTGAAAGTCTCGGAAAGGGGAAGCATCGTTTTGAGCGAAGGTTGAAAGAACTGTACGTATCTCAGTGTCAAAAAATCGCATGAAAGTATGGAAGGTAAGGAAGACTACCGCATTTTTTAAATCAGAAAAACGCAAAGAAAATTCCATAATGTGACTGGTGGAAACTCCATATGGGATAGGAATTTTTGAAAAGGGCTAATAGTCTGCAAAATCTCACCATTGTGATGTGAACATACGCATCAAGCGACAATATCGCGTTCCTCTACATAACTATGCATTTTATTCGTATACAAAAAAAAATCCGCTTCAATACGCGCTACTAAATTTTATGAAAACAGTGCAAGATGCTGTAAGCCGTCTCTAGCAGGATTGGGTTTCCAAAAATTAAACTCGTATCTGTCACCTTATTTTGTATTCCGAAAGTTCGATCTGGTT